ACCTTGCTTTGATTCTTCACATTTTTTGTTTTGTTTGGAATTATGTTAACCCTTTAACTCCCAGGATCTCATTAGTAATTCTCCTTCCTATTCACCACATAGTTCTTGTGATGTCGATTTGAAGAATTTGGTATTGAATGCTTTAATGATCCTCTAATTAATATTTTTTCTTTATTCTCATCACTTGTCTGCTTAATATTGTAATGACATTGTATGGAGAAATTCTGTCTTGGTCACTCATGGGAGATGAAGGGGTAAAGGGTGTGTTTTGTTCGTACCATTACAAGTAATTTTGGCCATCACAAGCACCTCTGAGACTGTGATTCCCACTAACCACAAAATTTACAGTTTTTTTCTTTTCTTGGTTTTTGTAAACCAACAGTGCTGTTGTTTTCTTCAGCTTATCAACATTTCCTGAGCAATTCTCAGACATCTTGCAGTTCCTCTGTATAATTTTCCCCTTCACCTGCTTACCTGTTTCTTCATGTGTACTGATCATAGGATATTACCCAATTAATCTGTCCTGAAGCAATGTTTAATTTTGGTTGCAGTGTATAGTGGATGACAACCCAATTAGTAGCCTTTGACAACCCATGGTTTTTGTTAGAGAAAAGAATGCTTATGTCTGAGAGGTTTGTATTATAAATTATATTACAGCTTCCCTCTTTCCGTGCCAAATGGAGGCTATTATGTTTATCATCCTTTAAATACTTTTCAACACATGGGAAAAATGTTTATGAACAGCTTACTGTTTATGGTGTGGGAGGTTTACTTTTCAGTGTTCCCTGAAATGATTTTATGAATAAAAGTAACATGTTCCCCCTTCCATAACAACCACACAATGCTTTTCATCCTGAATTAAATCCCTAACACAGAGTTTTCCATATTGGATGTAAGGTTTGAAAAGTGAGGAATATCACTTAAGGTATATCTTTGGATATCCCCCAATGTTAGCTTGAGGATATTCTGTTATGTGATGGGTTTAGACCACTTACAGACAAGCAAATATATATGTTGGATTATAAATTGGTATTTATTGATCATGAGTAATTTATGATAAAAGTAAGGTAGCTGAAATATTGTAAGTGTAATGTGTGGTGTTGTACATGTAATTAAAGGTTTATAAAATATGAAAAAAGAGGAAAGAAAAAACAGAGAGAAACAAAGACAGAAACCAACTAAGGCCACTGCAAAATACAAGAAACCAAATTGCTGTTTGTGTCTCTGATTGGTTGTTTAGATAGTGTTAATATTTAAGCCAATCACAGACCAAGGTCATGGAAAAGCTTAGAAATGTTTGACTGTTTTTAGGCTCAATGAAATTTATAAACAGTACTGTGTATGATGAGTAAAACTATTTTTACTGACAGTGTTCCAATCTGTCCCAAATTGTCTCCTTTTAACCAACTACCTGAAATCTTGACCCTTTTACTTCCAACATCTGAGAGTTGATTAAATCAACTGAAAAAAAAAAGTTCTCATCAAGTTGTTTTAGATGTATTAATTATTTTCCTAATGGTTATGTTTTTCTTTCAGGCCCTTCTTTATAGAAGATGTGTGTCCCAGACAGACAACATTACCAACCATACCTGTAATAAGGAGTTTCAAGCACTTACAGCCTGTATAAGACAAGCAGTAAGTTTTCTGGCCGACTGATCAGGCTCTCTTTTCTTCTGTGTTTAATCAGCTTGGATATCATGTTAGTTTTAAATCACAAACTCAATTGTCATGACAAGATAGTCAAATGGGGGCACAAAAGTGTCCTTTCAGAGAGTGAGGTGATAAAAAAGAGAGTCTTGGCTTTCTCATGCAACACATTCTTTGCCATACTTTTCAGTATTCAGAGTTTGTTTCAGTTCAAACTTTGTTAAACATAAGCAGTTAATGACTGGCTCCAAGGGATACAGTGAGTTTTCGTTTCCCAAGACTCTTAAATGTTCCTTGAACTGAAGCCAAAGGGAACAATTAGGG